ATCCAGGTGACCAACTGGAGGATGGAGGAAGGAGATCCAGGTGACCAACTGGAGGATGGAGATCCAGGTGACCAACTGGAAGATGGAGATCCAGGTGACCAACTGGAGGATGGGGATCCAGGTGACCAACTGGAGGATGGAGGATAGGGATCCAGGTGACCAACTGGAGGATGGGGATCCAGGTGACCAACTGGAGGATGGAGGATAGGGATCCAGGTGACCAACTGGAGGATGGGGATCCAGGTGACCAACTGGAGGATGGGGATCCAGGTGACCAACTGGAGGATGGGGATCCAGGTGACCAACTGGAGGATGGGATCCAGGTGACCAACTGGAGATGGGGATCCAGGTGACCAACTGGAGGATGGAGGATGGGATCCAGGTGACCAACTGGAGGATGGAGATCCAGGTGACCAACTGGAAGATGGAGATCCAGGTGACCAACTGGAGGATGGGGATCCAGGTGACCAACTGGAGGATGGGGATCCAGGTGACCAACTGGAGTATGGGGATCCAGGTGACCAACTGGAGGATGGAGGATAGGGATCCAGGTGACCAACTGGAGGATGGAGATCCAGGTGACCAACTGGAGGATGGGGATCCCAGGTGACCAACTGGAGGATGGAGGATGGGATCCAGGTGACCAACTGGAGGATGGGGATCCAGGTGACCAACTGGAGGATGGAGATCCAGGTGACCAACTGGAGGATGGAGATCCAGGTGACCAACTGGAGGATGGAGGATGGAGATCCAGGTGACCAACTGGAGGATGGAGATCCAGGTGACCAACTGGAAGATGGAGATCCAGGTGACCAACTGGAGGATGGAGGATGGAGATCCAGGTGACCAACTGGAGGATGGAGGATGGAGATCCAGGGGACCAACTGGAGGATGGGGATCCAGGTGACCAACTGGAGGATGGAGGGTGGAGATCCAGGTGACCAACTGGAGATGGAGATCCAGGTGACCAACTGGAGGATGGAGATCCAGGTGACCAACTGGAGGACGGAGGATGGAGACCCAGGTGACCAACTGGAGGATGGAGATCCAGGTGACCAACTGGAGGATGGAGATCCAGGTGACCAACTGGAGGACGGAGGATGGAGACCCAGGTGACCAACTGGAGGATGGAGATCCAGGTGACCAACTGGAGGACGGAGGATGGAGACCCAGGTGACCAACTGGAGGATGGAGATCCAGGTGACCAACTGGAGGATGGAGATACAGGTGACCAACTGGAGGATGGAGATCCAGGTGACCAACTGGAGGATGGAGGAAGGAGATCCAGGTGACCAACTGGAGGATGGAGATCCAGGTGACAAACTGGAAGATGGAGATCTAGGTGACCAACTGGAGGATGGAGATCCAGGTGACCAACTGGAGGATGGGGATCCAGGTGACCAACTGGAGGATGGAGGATAGGGATCCAGGTGACCAACTGGAGGATGGGGATCCAGGTGACCAACTGGAGGATGGAGGATAGGGATCCAGGTGACCAACTGGAGGATGGGGATCCAGGTGACCAACTGGAGGATGGGGATCCAGGTGACCAACTGGAGGATGGGGATCCAGGTGACCAACTGGAGGATGGGGATCCAGGTGACCAACTGGAGGATGGGGATCCAGGTGACCAACTGGAGGATGGAGGATAGGGATCCAGGTGACCAACTGGAGGATGGAGATCCAGGTGACCAACTGGAAGATGGAGATCCAGGTGACCAACTGGAGGATGGGGATCCAGGTGACCAACTGGAGGATGGGGATCCAGGTGACCAACTGGAGTATGGGGATCCAGGTGACCAACTGGAGGATGGAGGATAGGGATCCAGGTGACCAACTGGAGGATGGAGATCCAGGTGACCAACTGGAGGATGGGGATCCAGGTGACCAACTGGAGGATGGAGGATAGGGATCCAGGTGACCAACTGGAGGATGGGATCCAGGTGACCAACTGGAGGATGGAGATCCAGGTGACCAACTGGAGGATGGAGATCCAGGTGACCAACTGGAGGATGGAGGATGGAGATCCAGGTGACCAACTGGAGGATGGAGATCCAGGTGACCAACTGGAAGATGGAGATCCAGGTGACCAACTGGAGGATGGAGATCCAGGTGACCAACTGGAGGATGGAGGATGGAGATCCAGGTGACCAACTGGAGGATGGGGATCCAGGTGACCAACTGGAGGATGGGGATCCAGGTGACCAACTGGAGGATGGAGATCCAGGTGACCAACTGGAGGATGGAGATCCAGGTGACCAACTGGAGGATGGAGATCCAGGTGACCAACTGGAGGACGGGGATCCAGGTGACCAACTGGAGGACGGGGATCCAGGTGACCAACTGGAGGATGGAGGGTGGAGATCCAGGTGACCAACTGGAGGATGGAGACCCAGGTGACCAACTGGAGGATGGAGATCCAGGTGACCAACTGGAAGATGGAGATCCAGGTGACCAACTGGAGGATGGAGACCCAGGTGACCAACTGGAGGATGGAGACCCAGGTGACCAACTGGAGGACGGGGATCCAGGTGACCAACTGGAGGACGGGGATCCAGGTGACCAACTGGAGGACGGGGATCCAGGTGACCAACTGGAGGATGGGGATACAGGTGACCAACTGGAAGATGGAGATCCAGGTGACCAACTGGAGGATGGAGACCCAGGTGACCAACTGGAGGATGGAGACCCAGGTGACCAACTGGAGGATGGAGACCCAGGTGACCAACTGGAGGATGGAGATCCAGGTGACCAACTGGAAGATGGAGATCCAGGTGACCAACTGGAGGATGGAGATCCAGGTGACCAACTGGAGGATGGAGATCCAGGTGACCAACTGGAGGATGGGGATCCAGGTGACCAACAGAAGAATGGAGATTCAGGTTCAGAAAGTCAGACTCCAGAGGAGAAGAAGCAGTGACGTTTCAACTAGATTAAACTGTTTCCATCAGTCTTAATGTCAGCCGACTTAATGTTCGGCCAACCGGGTGACCCGTCAGCTCTTCAGTCCTTGAAACCACAAAAAAACCGGAGACCCACCGAACCACTCATGATAAAAAGGATCCACTGGATCCACTCGATCTGAGAACCACTGGGGTTCAAACTGATCATTCATTATTAGCTTCCTGAAAAAGAGCCAAGTCGCATTTTATTTAAATTCTACATAAAAACAGCTGTTGTTACTTAAGTGTAAATAGATCTAATCAAGTATTTTGGGCCAGTGCTCCCTGAGGATAGTTGCTCCATGACTTCATTGTTGCTAATAATCATAAAATATTTATTCATCAAGTCATTTTAACATTTTATATCAGATTATTTTCTATAACAGTCGTTCTGATGTCTTTTAAATCCAACAACAATATAATTAATAGAAATAAAACATTTACATTATGATATATATTGTTTGTATTTGACAGCCACATATTAATTTTTTAATGTAGCTGAAGTGGCTCTCTGCCCAGGGCCGAACCAGGAACCAAAAACAGAACCACTGCCTGCTCAGTCAGGGAGAGGGCGCCCTTGTGGTGTTAATGAAACATGGCAGAGTGGCAGACAAATTCAATAGAACTAAAACAACTTTCTGCTCCTTCTGATTGGACTAGTAATTTAATCTTTTTCCATAAACATCAGAAAGTGTTTAAATTGTTCACAATAATAACCTCAGAACACCAAACAGATCCAGGTTCAGTTCAACCTCAGATTCTGTCGGTGATTTTACTGATTCATCATCAGCAGAAACTTCATGACCCAGCAACAGCGCCCCCTGTGGTCCAGGTTCAAATCAGTCTAAATGCTCCAGTGACCTTAAAGGTTTTTTTAATACTTTATATTTTATTTCAATGACAACCTGAGTACCTGCAGGTTGTCATAAACCAGCATCAGTGGTTTCCTGTCTGACTGACTGACTTTCTGATCATTGTGGAAAAGTTTGACCCACTTTTCACTTATTGTGTAAACAAACTTATTCATGTGTGATGTTTTGTTGATATTAGCAGAATACCAACCAATTTTAGCAAACAGTGGTGATGGAAAGGCAGTTAATGATGCTCATCAGTTTACAGATGGTTACAAGGTGTTAGTTTGTCTGTATTTTGACTGATTACTGTCAAGTTTCCAAAGAAACTTTAGTGTTTCTGCTGGTGGAGGCGCAGAGACCTGCAGCTGTTTCTGGTGAATGATCCAGATTGTAAAGCATGTCAGAGTCCTGGGAACCTCCAGCCTGCAGGGTGCTTGTGTTGGACTTTCTGTCTTTGGAAAGAGACACCTGCAGCTTGTTTTCCAGGTTTTGCTCTGGCAGCGGCTGATTGCAGATGATCGTTTTAAAAATGCTGATTCTGTTGCACCAATGGATCAGAAATGTTAAGATTTTTCCACAGAAATGATCATGAAGTCGGTTTAAACCTCATTTCCTGTGACATCCAGTATATCGATGACTGAACATGTAAACATGAACCTGATTGAAACCAACTGAGAGCCAGACAGTGGAGGAAACATCAATGTGTGGAAACTTTGACTGAAGTGTTTTAGAGCAGCAGAGACATGTTTTTGTTGTTTTCCGTTGGCTGAGTGACGCTGTGCTGAATTATGTTTTCACTGTTTGGTCTCTCATGCAGCGGAGGCGTCGCTTCACTCTGAGCAGCTTCAGGTGTTTGTTTTTTTTCTGACTGCAGGTTGAAGTGTTGAACGCTGACAGAAAGCGTGTGATCTTCACTTCCTGTCTCCCACACAGAGACACAAACAGAAAGAATGTTTTCTGCTTATAAAATACATATTTTATTATTTCATTAACAGGAGAAAAAACTCAATCAATCTAAAATAAAAGTTCTGATTCTGGTGTTTCGTTTACAACCTGTTCACTTTCAGACTTTTTTTTAAGGTCACTGAATGCAGCATAAACTTCTTCAGATTAAACTTTTATTTTCTTGTTTTTAAGGTTTGGTTTCAGGTTTTCTGTTGCTTTGACAGAAAAATGAGGCTCTGCTTCTGCATCACCAGTGCAGTTAGAGGAAACCAGTGGAGGAAGTGGGAGGTTTCTGTGTCTGAGTTCTCACCGTTCTGAACTCCATTTTACTCAAAGTCAAGATGAAAATGTTTTTCCTGCATCTGCTGTGTGAGTAAAACCTGCTTTCAGTGTCTGGATTATAGTTTTTATTGATAAAACTGCTTAAATTTTGTTGAACTGAAGTTGGTGGTCAAAGTATCAAAATGTATAAAAGGACTTCATTAATAATGTTTCCATTGTCTAATAAACTAATCTTGTTGTTTTCTGTAGTTTTGGCCTCTCTGCTGTGCAGCTCGACTCATCAAGGTCAGTAAACTTTAGAGAAAATTCACTTCCTGTTTGGTGACGCAAAGCATCAGGAGAACAGCCTCACAGACCGTATGTGGTTAAATCACATCATTCTAGTGATTATTTATTTATGGCAGTGATGTAAATTAAAAGAGGAGGGTTTTCTGTGCCTGAAATTTAATTTGCTTTCTTGTTTCTAAAAGAGGTTTTTATGTCACTTCTGCTCTGAACCTGACCTGGAACCAGGACAATAAACAGGATGAGAGTTCTGCTGACAGCGGCGCCACTGTGAGCGTCGACTCAGAGAAAATGTCAGCTTAACGGTTTGATCATATGTAAAGGGCAGCATTAAGTAAAATCAATTGTTTTGATGTAATGTGAAACCAGTTGGTGTCAACAGAAACTGAAGCTTGTCTTCAGTCCTGCTGGTTTGTTGGGGGTAAAGGCTCTGAAACAAAATGTTCTGGATTTACCTTTTATCTGTGAGATCCTGACTGAAATCTCCCCAAAATGAGATGACCTGTCATTTGGTGGAGGTCTGAGTGGAGTCATGATCTGGACCAATGGATGGGCCAGCTGGACATCAGACTGGCCTCCTTCCTGAGGGAAGAGTTGGAGCTGCTGCTGGGAGGTCCGAATGGGAACTAGGAATCTCTGGAGAGACCAGTTATCTCATGCTGGTCTGGGATCACCAGAAGATCCAGCAGAAGACCCAACTGAACCGGTTAGCTGTGTGCACCGACCTCAGATGGGTGGAAAAGCAGTAAATAATAACGCCGAGGCACCATGATGGACATGGGAAGTGAGAGACAGGAAGTGACTTTATTGTTCCCCAGGTTTTTTGTGCCATGACTTGAAGTTGTTCAAGTGAAGCTAACATGTCTGTGGAAGCAGCTCACCTGCATTGATCAGAGTTTCCTTTCATTCCTTCGCAGCTCATCTTGTTGCTGATTTCAGCTCCTCTCAGTTGTTTGAAGGAACCCGAGTGACTCTGAAATGTGAGGCGGACGACGGCTCTGAAGGATGGACCTTGAAGAGAAACACAACCAAACGGATGTCAACGTGTGGAGACGGCTGGGGGAAAAGGACCAACTCCTCCTGTACCATCGAATTCCTCTTTATACAAGACTCTGGTCTGTACTGGTGTGAGTCTGGATCCTCCAACAGCGGCAGCAGCAGCAGCAGCAGCAGCAGCTGCAGCATCCAGCTCTCTGTCTCTGGTAAGATCAGACTGTGGAGTTAGTGTTGCTGTGTGGAAATGGATGAAATGCTGTAGTTTGTCTCTGTGTTGAAAGGATCAGTGATCCTGCAGAGTCCTGTCCTCCCTGTGATGGAGGGAGATGACGTCACTCTGATCTGCAGAGCAAGGAATCCAACCCACAACCTCCCAGCTGCTTTCTATAAAGATGGCTCCTTCATTGGTGATGGATCAGCAGGCAGCATGACCCTCCTCCATGTTTCCAGCTCTGATGAAGGCCTCTATAAATGTAGCATCAGCGGTTCTGGAGAGTCTCCATCCAGCAGGGTCTCTGTCAAAGGTCAGAAAATACAAAGAAAACACCAAAAACCTACTGAGAGAAAAGAGATGAGGTGATGTTCTCATTGAATAATGACATTTTTCTTCTAAAATGTCACATTTTAAGTTTTTCCTGATGATCTAGAAGTCATTGTGTTTCGTAAACCATACCTGAACTGGAGGAAACTTCAGGGTCCTCTGAGTACCACAGAAAGACCTGCTGATGTAGACAACACACTTTGTGATGTAGAACTGGAAGGGGAGCTGAGCTTTAAATCAGACGGTTGATAAGAACAGTCAGGATGGAGCCATGAAGGTCACTAACTGGAATCTACACCAATGCAGCATTGTGATGGTAAATGGCCTGTATCTGTGCTTTATCAAAGTCAGAGGACTCCAAAGCACTTCACGCTACATTCAGTCATTCACACACTAGTGTTGATGAGCTACTGGCTAGTAGCCACAGCTGCCTTGGGGCATTCTGACTGAGGCCAGGCTGCACCGGCCCTCCGACCGCCGCCAGCAGGCCAGGCGGGTGAAGCGTCTTGTCCAAAGACACAATGACAGAAATGGACGGAGCATCTGATGGTGAATGAACTGCTACTGTTATCAACAGTGACTGAGTTCAGACCAGCATGTACTGAATAATTCTGACTCTTTTATTCCTTTAGTTTGATCAAGGTGTTCTCTTGTCAGGATTTCTACCTAAGCCACTAATATGCGCAACATTGTCCAAAATTGCACCGCCACGCATTAATAATCTCGTGATTTACAGACATGTGGACAGTAGTTACCCATAGCGGTTCAGTGATGTCGCCATTTTGAACCATTGATGAGGTCATTGGGGGTCGTACAGGCGAAGGCTGGTCTGTACCGTCCAACCCAACTCAACCCAACCCGACCCAACATGACCTGACCTGACCCAACCCAACATGACCCGACCCAACCCAACCCAACATGACCCAACATGACCCAACATGACCCAACATGACCCGACCCAACCCAACATGACCCAACATGACCCGACCCAACCCAACATGACCCAACATGACCCGACCCAACCCAACATGACCCGACCCAACATGACCTGACCCGACCCGACCCAACCCGACCCAACATGACCCGACCCGACCCAACCCAACCCGACCTGACCCGACCCAACCCAACATGACCCGACCCAACATGAACCGACCCAACCCGACCCAACCCAACATGACCCGACCCAACCCGACCCGACCCAACCCAACCCGACCCAACATGACCCGACCCAACATGACCCGACCCGACCCAACCCAACATGACCCAACATGACCCGACCCAACATGACCCGACCCGACCCGACCCGACCCAACATGACCCGACCTGACCCGACCCAACCCAACCCAACCCGACCCAACATGACCCGACCCCACCCGACCCGACCCAACCCGACCCGACCCAACATGACCCGACCCGACCCAACATGACCCAACCTGACCCGACCCGACCCAACCCAACCCGACCAACATGACCCAACATGACCCGACCCGACCCAACCCAACCCGACCCAACATGACCCGACCCGACCCAACCCAACCCAACCCAACATGACCTGACCCGACCCAACATGACCCAACATGACCCGACCCGATCCAACCCAAGCAATGAGCTGCTGTCTCTCAGATTATAGACGAAGTTCCTTCCTCATGTTGCCTCTCAGCTCCTGGTGAACTAATTTAAAATGTTTTATTTACAGCTAAACCTCTAGTCTCCCCGCCGTCCTCCGGAGCCGCGGCCTCCGCCTCGGGCCCCCTACAGCTCACATACACAGTGCTGCGCCACCTGGTGGTGTTCTGTCCATACTTCATCTCCACCGTCATCATGGTGTTGTTATATCAAGCCAGACCATTCGGTAACTCCTCTTTAACTCTGATTCTCTAATCAAAGATGACTCTTGACTCACAATAACATTTGAGTTGACTGTTTTTAACACTTTCTCTGTCAGCAGAAAACAACCTGGAAAGTTCCCCACCCACACAGTCTGAGCAGGGAACAGAGGTCAAGGTCAAAGTTACCACAAATAATTATGTAAATGCAGAGACAATGTTCCAATCAGATTGTGTCAAAATTTATATTTCATGATCAGTTTTATTAAGCTTTTAAGATACTGAAGCCTCCCTTCATTCCAAAGGGGAAACCTCGTTCCTTAAACATATCAGAGATTGTAAATATGGGATGCAGATTTTACAGTCTAAAGGAGAAAAACCTCAGGATAGTTTCTTTGCTAAATAAGCTTGCATCCATTTAAAAACAGGTCTAGAATTAAATGCTTTTACAAAAACCTTCAAGTTTCAATCTGATTTGTTTTAATTTGTGAGGACTTCAGGTTATTGTAAAGTCGTCTCTAAATATGAGTGAAAAATCAAATTTTTCAGCTGCAGCTCATCCCAGACTGGGAGAAGAAGACATTTAAACCTTTTGTTTTTCACCTGAAATCCGGTCAGGTGCCGGTGTCCTGAAACTCTTAGATCTGTCCAACACGCCTGAATCAAACGGCTGAATCACTTCCTCAAGTTCTCCAGAGTCCTGATTACTTTTCTCAGATGTGTTGAAGTACAGAAACATTTAATCCAGGCTGGATCTGAGAACCCTGATCTGCAGGATGTGATCAGGGTTCACATCCTCATCAATCTCAGTAACAGAAACAAGTCAACTGTGTCTAGACTTTAAAAAAATTACCACATCATTGATATTATGAGAATAAAAATGTTTTTAAGATGCATTTCTCTAATTTCTTTTATAAAATTAGCAAATTAGTCTCCCTTAAAAAGAAAATCCAAAGGTGGCAGATTTTACAGAAGAGTAATTATAACTTAATAATATAATTATAATTATTTTATTACACATTAATTCGACCTGCATCATGTCTAAATAAAACATTTAAACAAGCATTTTACAAACTGAATATATTTGAAGCTGTGTTACAACACAATGTGTTTCAGCTCCTAAATTATTAATTTGGAATTAGATTAATATCTAAATTACCCTGGAGTCATGTGCAAGAGATCCACAGTACAGAAGAGTAGCAGCTGGAGAAAAAAATAATCAATCATGATTATCTATTTAAACAGTTCAGTGTTTATATCATAAAACACAAAAATAAAGTCAGAAAAACATCTTACAGTCAGCAAATGAAAAAACCAGCAACAGACATTAAATTTAACAAGTTAATAATCAAATATGTTGAGTAATGTTTCAATTATTATCGTTCAAAAAGCAACTCAGACACATAGGATTCAAATATTCACTAAACAGATTATTTATTTAGCTCCAAACTGCATAATCAGTTTGCAAATAAAGGAATATGGACTTTATGGGATGCCATTTGTAAAGTCACGTAATTAAACATTAAAAGCAATAATTTGACTTATTGAACAAAAATGAATATTTTGTTCTGACCAGAAGTTTAGTCACCAAGTTACATATTTAGCTGCAAGTATTGAGGAAGGCAGGTATTCTTTGTAATTATCAAAAATTCAACTCCAAACTGAATATTCAGTGTTTTTGGTGACTTTCTGTAAACGGAGTGAACACGTGACCCGCTGGCAGCCAATGAGCATGCAGCTCCTCAGACAGAAGTTGTTTTATTTTGACACATTTACTCTCAGTAATTTAGACTTCAAACAGGCCGTCCTGCTCTGTCCATCTGCGCAGCAGCGGTACCAGTTCTGCGCCGGTTCCGGGGGCCCAGAAAGCGCAGCAGAGAGTTAATCTGGGGGAAGTATCGGAGCCGGTTCCGGTGGAAACAGCAGCAGAACAGCAGACAGCAGGACAGAAGGACTGGAGGTGAAACCAGACCCGGTCCAAACACTGAGGCTCACAGGTCCTTTTACTGAACAGAACCAGCTGCCCCAAACATTCACGACCAGCGACCCGCAGCGCCGAGGTCCAACAATTCAACAAACCGAACCGAACCCGCCCGGGACCGCCTGCCACCGGCTTCCTGTCATTCGACATAGAAACACCTCAAGTGTCTCGAAAAAAACACCAAAATCACCGAGAAAAGGTCCAAAAAGCCGAACCGGTACCGCTGCTGACAGAGGCCGAGAGCAGCGTCATGACCCGCCGAGAGCAGGCACGTCTTCCGCCGGGTCGGCTGGCGCTGCTGCCCCCTGGTGGCCAGGAGGAGAAACACCAGGCGAACAAAACATGGTTCAACTTCTCTATTTACCATTTTATTATTAGATTACACATTTTTAAAACAAGTACAGAGTGTTATTTTAATATTTTACATTTCTATTCAACTAGTTAACAATATTTATACCTTTTACACAATATTTGATACATAAAAAAGCAGTACCTTTCATTGAAATGTGAAAAGTTCAGGCTCATTAATCATTGTTCAGGCGGGTTTAGATTTAAATAAAACACCTGGTGCAGTGGAACAGAGATTCAAACATCTGATCAATAAAGAAAATCTTATTGAATTGTTTTACAGAAACGATCAGATTTTAAATGACAGATGTAATTCCCAACATCCGCCACCAGGTGGAGCTATAACGTCCTCAGGAGGTCAAACTGTCAGATTCTCTCATAACTGAATAATTTATGTTTTCAGATTTTTCCAAGACTCAAGTCTTTAAAAATGTATATGGTAATTTTACACAGCTTGAATAATACTATTTTATTTACATTTTAGCACCAAAATATACGGAAGAGGATTAGGGCCACTGGAAAAAAAAAAAAAAAAAATGTCCGAAATTTTTTTTTCAGTGGTTCAGAATAGGTTAAAAAAGAAAAAAAAAATTTTGTGGCCCAAAAAAAAAAAAAAAAAAAAAAAAAATTGTGGCCGAGAAAAAAAAAATATCCGGGACAAAAAAAAAAAAAAAAAAAAAAAAAAAAAAGAATCTGTGTCAGAAAAAAAAAAAATCTGTGACAGAAAAAAAAAAAAAAAAAAAAAAAATTGTGACAAAAAAAAAAAAAAAAAAAAAAAAAAAAAATTTAAAAAAAAAAATCTATGGAAGCCCCATTTCTATGGAAGCCCGTTTCCGCCACTTTGTTAAAAAAATTAAATAAAATTATCTCATTATAATGAGATAGTATCTCAAAATAATGAGATAGTATCTCATTATAATGAGATAGTATCTCAAAATAATGAGATAGTATCTCATTATAATGAGATAGTATCTCAAAATAATGAGATAGTATCTCATTATAATGAGATTGTATCTCATTATAATGAGATACTATCTCAAAATAATGAGATAGTATCTCATTATAATGAGATACTATCTCAAAATAATGAGATAGTATCTCAATATAATGAGATAGTATCTCAATATAATGAGATACTATCTCAAAATAATGAGATACTATCTCAATATAATGAGATAGTATCTCAATATAATGAGATACTATCTCAAAATAATGAGATAGTATCTCAAAACTAGAAAATTCCTGAAGAAATTTAACCGGGGCCTGCCAAAGTGTGCCCGTCGATTTTGACCCAGCGTTCTGATGCTAAACATTAGCATCCATGCTAAAGAAAGCTGCAATGTCATCAATACAATGTGCAGAGTCACAAGCATGTATAGTAAATATGGGTAATAAGTAAGGGAAATAGCTAATACCTCATGCAAGGTAAAAGGCTAATGCTAATGCTCTGCCTTGCTGCGCAAGGCAGAGCCCTAACCTGAGTGGAAAAGATCATGCAGGATAATCTTATTGCACTGCCTACGGCAGTGCACTGGTGGAAACAGAGAAATGCTAATGTTTGTGCTAATGCTAATGCACTGTCTTGCTGCGCAAGACAGTGCCCTAACTTGAGAGGAAAAGATAATGGAAGCTAATATCATTGCAGCGCCTATGGCGCTGCATTAGCCAAGGCCGAATCTTAAGGCTTTTATTTTGAAATGTTCAGAATGTTTAATTTTAAATGGTCATGTAATCCCATGTATAACAGTGATTTGGTTAAATCAGACATATAATGGTCAAAAGAGCACTTATTTAATCTAAAAATTCTCAAGGCTTTTATTTTGAAATTTTTTTAAAGCTTAATTTAAAATTTCCACACTAATTCCATGTGTAACAATGGTTGGTTAAAAATAGTTATAAAAGGCCCAAAACACAAGCAGTTCTAAAGTCCAGCTTTTTTCTCTGAGTTCTGCCATGTTAGAACTACAGTGATGCTCTTTTGTAGTCCTAATCTTCTGGCCCCTTTGTGTTCCGTTGCCATGGTAATGGATCCTCTGCCAGCTGTGAGTCAGACAGGGGGAGACTTAATTCTATCAATTTGAGGCAGCCATTTTGCCTAAAATAGGCATGAGCCAGAAAGGAATCTTAAGGCCTTTATTTTGAAATTTTCATTGAGATTAATTTTAAATGGCCAATCTCATCCCATGTTTAACACTGATTGGGTTAAATCAGTTATATAGTGGTCAAAAGAGCAATTACCTGATGGAAAAATTGTCAAGGCTTTTATTTTGAAATTTACATTAAGCTTAATTTTAATGGTAACACTAATCCCATGTGTAACTATGGAGTTTGAAATCAGTTCTAAATTCCCAAAAACCAAGTACTTGTCATGGCCAGCTGATTACTCATCAGTAGTAACTGACAGTTCTGCCATGTTGTAGTTTTTATATTCACCTATGACCTCTTCTGTAGGCACTGAGTGTTCTGCCATGTTGTAGTTCTAACGTTCAGGAATTGTAGTTCTAAAGAGCAGCTGATTCCTCCTCAGTAGTAACTGACAGTTCCGCCATGTTGTAGTTCTGACAATCAGCTCTGACTCTTTTGTAGGCACTGAGTGTTCCGCCATGTTGTAGTTCTACCCTTCAGGAATTGTAGTTCTAAAGAGGAGGTCAACTGTCATGTCAGTGTGACACACAAGGAGAGACTTAATTCTAAATGCTTGAAGAAGTTAGTTTTTCTGACAGGCCTGAGAGAAATATTCAAGGTTTTATTTTGAAATTTTCATTAAGCTTCATTTTAAATTTTTACACAAATACTGTGTATAACAATGGTTGCTTAAAATCAGTTATAAAAAAGTCCAAACACAATGTAATTCTAAAGGCCAGCTCATTCCTCCTCAGTAGTAACTGACAGTTCCGCCATGTTGTAGTTCTGACAATCAGCTCTGA